ATTGCAAATGGTGTGGTAGAGCAGGGCTCCTAATTTAAAATATGTTTTAAAAATAATTAAAAATTCAAATGTTTGTATGAACAACTTACAATTTTATATTTTTAAAGATATGATATTTTAAGAAAACAAAAGACAAATTTTTTCTTCTTAGAAACAAACAATTGCATCTAGCATTATGTACTGCCCCAGGTATGAGCCATACAGTTTATTATGGGTAATATACGAGCAGTGTTGCAGTGCTAAAAAGATTTTTCATGGAGCATAATTCTATGTCAGTGGATGGGAATAGGAAAAAAAAAGATGTGTATTGTATGCAGGTTTTGTTCTCCATACAATATATTGGAAATAATATATATAGGAGATAATTTTAGAAAATTATCATATTCTATCATTTTAATATAAATTCAAAAGTTTTCACTTATACTGGGTTTTCTTAGTGACCGCCCTTGATAGATACTTTAAAAATGAAGCAAAAGAGGTTTACATATAAAGGGTTCAGAAAGGAGGAAATGAAATTCAAAAATCAACGCAATCAAAGTCGAATTAATCACTACTGAGAAGATGGGATTGAAAAAAATCAAAACCTGTTTGTTTGCCGGAGAAGCAGTGATTATTAAAAATACATTCAGGTATGAGAAGTGGTTTTGATATTTTTAGCCCCGCCTTCCCAAGTTCGGTATATTTTGGCACTCATTGTGTTTTTTTTTTTTGCATATTAATTTATGAATCTAATGTGCATACATTCTTTACTTCGTTTTTGTGCAGTATTCTAAGAGTGACCGTTAAGGAATATATTTTCCTATTCTTTTTGTTTGCTGAGTAACATAAAGATTTCTAAATGGTTTTAATCTGAGCATGTATTTTGGTTTTTATTTTCTTAAACGACCATACATCAACATTTATTGAAGATAGGATTATCAAAAAGTTGTTCGATATTCACAAATGAAAAAAAAAAATTTCATGTAAATCAGAATTAGTTTTCAAAAATTATCAAGATCAATCGAAATGTTAATAGACATACTATAAACAATTCTTTTAATACATTTAGAGAACTGTTGAGTGCATTTAGTTCACAATGTGTTAAATTAATATTCTATTCATGATCGCAATGCTCGAATACGCCATCTGGCCAGAAGACCGGTTCCATGCCTTTGACCCTTTCCTCACCTCCTCTTTTCAGTTGCATAGGAATGTACTGCGATATTTTTCCTTTTCTTAATATTTTTCGTATTTAATTGTTAAAAATAATTTTTAAAATTTTTATGGCGCTCTCTTTTAGTATTATGTTTAAAGTAGTTTTCAGTTCCTTATAGTTTCCTAACTAAAAAGATTTAAATCTATTTAAAAATCAAGACATTAACTAACGTACTTCCTCCTTCTATGACTCTCCACACGCTAATGGTGAAAGCATGTGAAGTCTTATCATAGGTAGACAGTTCTGCTCTACGCCACATGTAGCCCATTTCGAGAGCTAATTCATTATATTGCTTGAAAAGATATTCTTAAAAATCATATTATAAGAATTTTATATAAGGGATCTCAATAGTCAACGTAATACCTAAAATCAACTTTTACACAAGAAAATTCATGCACTGAATTCTCTGCAGTTAGAACAATTTATGAATACGCCATCTGGGGAGAAGAGGTTCCATACCTTTGGCCCTCCTCTTTTCAATTGTATAGGAATGTACTACGATATTTTTCCTTTTCTTAATATTTTTTGTTTTTAATTAATAAAAATTTCCATGATGTTTTCTTTTAGAACTATGCTTAATGTAGTTTTCAGTTCCATATAGTTTTCCGACTTAAAAGATTTTAATCTATATGAAAATCAAGATAGAAACTAACGGTCCTTCTTCTATGACTCTCCACACGCTAATGGTGAAAGCATTGTGAAGTGTTGCCATAGGTAAAGATTTCTGCTATACGCCACTTGTAGCCAATTTCAATTGCCAATACGAATTTGTAAGGAACATATTTATTTGTAAAAGTACAAGACTATTTGCTTCTTAAATTCTTTTTTTTAAATATTTTACAGATTTTCGAATAATGAATAAAATAAAAACACGAATAATAAAAACACGAATCGAAGTCCCGGTGCGGCATTCCGTCTAACAAAAAAGTACCAGAGCGTCGAACCAGTGCATTCCGGCCCCACTAAACCTCTGAAAACAAATAATTATAAAAACACATAGAGCTTGTAAAATAAAGTTTGCTCTATATTTAAAGGATCGGTCTTAAGAAAGATCTTGAATGGTGCATGATCGCCTGTATTTCAACCACGATGAATCATCCCTGAATAAGCTGTATAGCAAGTTCACCAGGAGTTGACACTTGGCTCCACCTCCTCGGAAGCAGAATTCATTTCACCTCGGGAGGAGTAACATCTCCGCTCTTGAAATTAAGACAACCCTTAATGCGCACCAAACACAAACAATGAATTCTTTTTCAGTCACTAACATCGCTAATTATACCTTTTTTTTTAACTCTAGCTAATTAAATATATTTTAAATTTAAAAACTGTTGTGCTTTCCGTGCAAAATGTCTCAGAAAGGATAAACTATTCATTCAAAAAAGAGAAATATCATACATAATGTAACCAAATTTTTGCGAAGATGAAGCCAGAGAGGGAAGGTTTTTAATTCCAATTTCACAAGCACAGAAACGTGCTGCTGCAGCTACTGGCGTTTCGCTTACAACAATTAAGCGAATTAAAAAAGATATCTTTCCTGGGAAAACATCGTAAGTGTCCTGATTATAGAAATGCAATTTTAGACAATTTTGATCTCTGTGTTCTTCGAAACACAGTCAATGAGTTTTGTGTAAACAAAAAAATTCCGTCTTTATCTCGATTGCTTCCTGAGGTGAAAAAAAAGAATAAATTTCCATGGGAAAGAGGAATTCCATATTGCAGGTCTTCAATAAAGTTGCAAAAACCAGAGGTATATATTAATGGAGCGATCTAACATTGTAAGCTGGAGATTTTGTTTTCTCAGAGAAATAAGAACATAATTTATTTAGAAGACACGTGGCTGGACAGCAATCTTTCTTTTGAAAAATATTGGACAGATGAAAAAGGTGAAGTCATTATAGCGCAGGATATCGCCTGATTGTGGTGCATGCTGGCTTCAAATCTGGTTTCATCCCAAATACCGGCTTGATATTTAAAGCAGGATCTGCTTCTGGATATTACCATGGACAAATGAACTTAGAAAATTTCGAAAAATGAATAATTGAGAAGCTGTTACCAAGTATTCCTCCGAATTCGGTCATCGTTATGGATAATGCAGTTTACCATACAAAAGTGCTGAATCCTGTACCAACAAAAAGTTCAACAAAAGATAAAATGTGCCTCTGGTTAGAGAAAAAGATTAAACACTATAAAAAATGCGAAAAATTGAATTATTTGAATTAATTACAGCAAATGCACCTGCAGAAAAACAATATCGCATCGATGGATTCTTAAAAGAACCGGGCCATGATGTTTTGAGACTCCCCCGTTATGATTTGGACTTAAATCCCATAGAATTATTTTGGGTAGATATTAAACGTTATGTTAGAAAAAGAAAAGTGGCTGCTGATATGAGCTTAAAACATCTTCAAAATTTTGAGCCATACAAAATGTTGGAAATGAGATATGGAAAAAGTATTGCACACATATTGTTGTTGCTGTTGTAGTTCATTTACGTCGCACTGAAGCTGCACAATGGGCTATTGGTTTGGGAAACATCCCTGATAATGATTGAAAGACATGCCATTACAATTTTGATCCTTTGCAGAGGGGATGGCACCCTCACTTCGGTAGCCCGACGACCTACACGCGATGTCCAGCACTTTATGATAGAACAGTTTAACGAATAGCAATACCGCACACCCTCAGTTCCATCACAGGCGTACAATCCCACACACAGACTGCAGACAGTGATGCATGACTTCGAAGAATTATTGGAAAACTGACGGAATCGACGAAGAGGTTGAGGAAAATCTTTCTTTTTCCATCTATTCTGATTCTGACACTGAGAGCGATTCTAGTAGTAGTAGTTTTGACGATGAAATTTAATGTAATCTTGCACCTCATAGATAAATCATATATGCTTGCAACGTTCACCTGACGACTGGGATTTTTTTGACCTGGTGTAGGCATTCCTACACCAGGGGGATAAGTAACAACAACAGAGTTCATTTTTCAAAAGCTAAGTATATGCTGAGTATTTTTGTTTGAATTTTTTTAAAAATATAAATAAGCTATAACGTAATCAAGCAATGCAGATAATTGATATTTAATTTTTTTTAATCGATGCATTAAAAATTAAATTTAAACCAGATTTCTTCCTTATTGGGAAAAATATATCATTTTTTAACATATTATATTTATTTTACTGAAAAAAATCCTAATAATAATTTTTGTAAGTAGTACGTTATGTTAATATTGATATATGATGGTTTATATTTTTAGTTTTGTAAAGCATTTCCAAGTTGTCAAATCTAATGCTATTAAACATATCCTTACAGAAGATTTTTCAATTGTTTTAGTTTTTGTGTTTCACTATTTTCTTGAAATTTAATAATTTTAGGCGAATTTTAATTCTCGAAATTTAATTTACGATCACATTAAAATAATTGTTGTTGTTGTTGTCGTTTGACAACTGCAGAAAAGTACAAATTAAATGGAACCAAAGGCATGGAGCACAGCCCTGGCCACATCTCCGACTTTTTCGGAATAAAGGATTAAAATAAATATATGATGTACTATTGATGTTGCTGTAAGATCCTGAATTTTACTAGAGATGCTTCTAATAATAACATAAAATATATCGGCATTTAGGAAATATTAAGTACTTAAAAATTGAATAGCTAGATAAGTATTTTTGCCAAGCGATCGCCAAATAGCAACTTTCCTGTTCAAGATTATTCACATCCTTCTCCTAAATAGCGAAAACGTATCGTCGGATACCACGTGATGAAGGCGGAGCCAAGTGCCGCGAGCTATAATCATTCAAGTGTGAGCCATGACGTCTAATGCAGTGGGAACAGTTCTGAAAACCATCTGTATCTCGGCAGTAAAGATTCTCGGAAACAAAACCAGAACTTTTCGGTGAAAATATCTTTGTTTTGGTTTTAATGATTGGCAACAATATTTTTTTCCCGCTTTTTAAATTAAAAGATTCCGAGAATTCTTACTGCAGTAGTATATTTATATATTTGTTAAATAATATTATTTTAATTATGTGACAATATAATAATCTTATATTAAATTTTATATAAGCACTTTCTTTATGATGGTATGTTTATTTTTGTGGTTTTGTATCATGTTTCTCTTGATCGTATTTGAATGTATGGTCTTAATGATTTGTTTCTATTTGAAATGATTGTATGACGTTTATGAATTCTTGTTGTTGTCACTCTATCCTCCTATTCCTGATTAATTCGATCTAGTGTTTTATGTGTAGTCTTAAGCAATAAGTTTGATTGTTGAATTTGCATACTGTCATTTTTGTATTTTGAGTAATGACCAAAGTACCTGCATTTCTCTCAAATTGCTAGGGTAGCTATTTGTTTATTTTATTTTTACACTAGTTAAAAAAATAAGCAATAAAATAATTCGGTGGGGTTATTTTCAATTGGAAAATGTGTGCGTCAACTGTCATCGCCAAGGCGCTAAAGGGTTTTTGCATCTTAGCGATTTCAACTGGTAGGAGCAGGTATCTATATGGATATATTTCTATTATTTTATTTTTAAAGAAAAAGTATTTAAGTGCTATATATCAAGTAATTTATAATGTTTGTGTCTACGTTGTAATGAAATGAATAGAGAAAATTTCCGTATTGTGATCTGTGGCAGAAAAATCAGCAAGTCTTGGCTATTTTCTACAGCGATTTGCAAGAAAATTAAAAAATTCTCTGAAAGGAACCAACTCGAAGGGTATAACTCATAGCCACCCCCGGCAAACCTCTATATGTTTAAAAAAAAGTTCAAGTTTAAAATCTATTCGGTGCCTTGCAATTGTAGTTGGTGCACCAGATCACAATGCTGAAATATCTTCTGGTTTGTCAAGGTTAGATGAATAGGAAGATAACAGGTTAGATGATGTCAAGGTTAGATACATAGGAATTTTCAGCTGAACGTTTATTGTGACTGTTGATTGATATAAAGTGTTAGAGACCTTTTTCACTGAGGAAAACTAGACACTTTGCTTGAATTTTAGCATATTAAATCAGTTGCTCACTGCACGTCTCTTTAGTGATTAGTCAGTCACTTATATATGCCATGTTACAGGTACTTGTATAAATTGGGCCTTTCCTGGGACCTAAAATTTTTTGTTGCAACTAAAAATTAATTTATGGGCAGCTTTTGTAATTTATTATCAAATATTATGAAAGTTTTAAAATTTTATCACAAATACATACTGTGTTTCATAATTTGTAAAGTTTAAATTTTGAAGCAAATATACTTATTATATTTGCTTCTAAATTTTTCTCCATGTTTATGAACTTTTTCAAACACTTTATGTTGTTGCTCTCTGAAAATTATTTATTAATTTACATTGATTTTCCTTCTAGGATAATGCTAATGAACTTGCTCCTTTTGTGCCCGGTGACTTACTATGGGCGAAGATAGGCTCTCACCCATTTTGGCCTTGTATGGTTGGTTATGATCCAATTAATGGAAACTATACTAAATTATCTAAGAGTAAGTTATTAAGTATTTTTTTCATTAAATTTGTCTATTTTGTTTCTGTATTGAAAAAGAACGAATTTGTCAAGTTTATTGTTTTACATAACAACTCACTCATGCGTATTTACTGTAAATAAGTATTAAGTGTTCATCTTCAAAAAATTTCTTTTTGTGAATTTCTTTTTTCTGATACAAGATTTTCTAATAAGTTTCAAGTAATCTTATGATTTTTCATTTTTTTCATAATTTTAATATACTATTTAACTCGTTTGAAACCAGCTCAAAGGGACTGCAATATTTGCTTGTTGTGATGGAGTGGTCTTAAGAATACTTGTACAGTAAGAAAAAAGTTGGCTAATTTGTTTTGAACTGTCTTATTGCTTCTTTGTTGTATTGCTGTTTTTTGGAGAGGACTTGTGACCCAAAATCATTTCGTCATTTGCATCTCTGCTTAATAAAAATGTTTGAAGTTTCTCTTCACTCTCAAAAGCCATTGAGTATGTTTGGAGCTATTGAATTTAAACTTCTTTACATCTATCGTTATCATAGCTTTCTATATTTTTAATCTGTTTTAACTTTAATTTCAGTACCCTTGGGAATGGGAAGTAATTACTTTCAATTCTTCTCATTTCCAAATTTTCAAAATTAGCTACTTTTGGTAAATTCCATGTTTATGGAAAATAAAATCATTATCAAATTTAAATAAGTGTGGAGCATTTTGATTTTTTATATACAACATTATTATATTGTTTTAATTTGCATGCATAGTGACACTCCAGAAAAAAAGTTCTGATTCTCTGGTCATTCTGCCGTAGAGTCATATTAATTTTGATGTCTTGGCGATAATATCATTTGCCAATTGTTTACAGACATGACATCTGAAAATTTTTTTTACAAATTTAGCTACTAAATATTAAAATATATTCTAAAATTTTGCTATGTATTAACTTATACATCTCTCAATAAAAAATACTGCAAACCATGTGCTTTATGTGAAAAAATGTTAATTAATTGAAAAAAATATGCCACAACAGACATTACAAAAAAAAAGACATGAAAACAGTGACCACTACAATAAAAACAATATGACCAATTGCTCTAAAAATGGTACAAAACTTAGGTTCAGAAATTTCAGTTTTACAAAACAAGAATAAAAGATTAGATGAATAAATAGAATAGAATTAGATGAATAAAAGTTTTTTTTTTGTTTGATGGTATTTTGATCGAATGTAATGAAGTTTAAATCTTCCATTTTGTGAAACCCATTTTTGGTGATGTAGCGTTCTCATGCATTCAGCTTACATCAGTGACATAATGGTAATAAAACAGAAAATAGCATATTTCTTTGACGCCAATATTATGCTTTTATTTCTAGTCAAAAAGGGAATTGATTTAAGAGCCTTTTATTAATACCAGCATGAAAAAATACTACATTAAAATTAAAGCTGTTTTTTTTCTTCATTTTATTTCATTATTTTCCTATGAGAGTTTTCTTTTAACTAAAATTGTTTCCTCTTCGATTAAAGATAAAAATTTCAACCTAAAAAGTGTTTACCTATGTAATATCTTAAAAAACCCACCAAACTTGGTTTTTTAAAAAAAATCCCTATATATATATATATTTTTTTTTTTTTAAAAAAAATCCCGAAAAAATATTACCTGCAGGAAATTTTGACTGTTTTCATGAGCTTAATAAAAACTTTGTCTAGCAGTGTTCGTGCATTCGTGTATATTATGCATATCTTGTGACAGACACGACAGCTTATGAAAATTAGCTTGACTAAACTATTTATAAAGAATTATAATTATTTTATTATCATGCTGTTTACTGTTTTTTCCTGAAATTAAAACACTTTTTGAGATTAAAACACTTCTGAGTTTCGTGGAATTGATCTTCTTCCTTGGTGGTTTGCTCCTTTTCAAAAATGTCTAATCCAGCATCACTGGAGCAGTTAGTAATGCATGATGATGTAGCATTTTCTCATGCATCATTCATTAATGTGACACTTCCAGAACTATTTGCTGTAACATATTATATTAAGAGTCACAAAAGTATTGTGCATATTATGCTCAATTTTCTAATTTTATTTTTAATACTATTTCTAATTTTATCGTTAAATTTGGGTGCTCATTAAATCAGGGATCATTATAAGCTAGTTCAACTTGTTATGGTAATGGTTACGAATGAAATTTGTTTTGTGAAAGCTTCAGAAATTTAAAGTAACTCTAAAAATTAATTAATTTGTTTAATTTAATTTTTTAAATAAACAGGTGAGCTTTTATTCTGATCAAGATATCTAAGATTTTTAATGTAATGATAAGAAAAATAAAAGGCCATGTTATTCTAAAGTTTTCTAGAGATTCTACATTTCTCTCAAATAATTTTATTTATTTGATCTACTTTTAAACATATCTAATTTAAACAAATTTATTATTTTGTTGTATTATTTATTCATCATGTATTTATTTTTTGCCTTAAATAGTCCCAAGCTATATTTTTAATTTTATCTAAGGTGAGCGAAATAGTACAGTAGATATTAGATGGAACATTTCTTGCGAGACCAATATTCATAGCAAATAATAGATATGGGGAGACGTCCTATGAGAATCTGTATAAAATGTAAATGTAAAAATGACTTGGAAATGTATGAAAAGTAATAAAGAAGAATTAATAACTTAAATGTTAAAAATTTTCAATAATTGTGAAAAATTGGAAGAAAAAAATTATTTGTACTTACTGCAAAAATTTTTGAGATGCAAAAGAACAAAAAATAAATGCATTTATTTCTTTGAAATATGTGAACATTTTGGTCTGAACACACTGTTTTCTTATATGCTCAAATAAAATAGTCCTATTCATTCTATTTTTTCTTACTCAGCACTGTCATACGAAATTTATAGATTTTGCTTTCCTTAATGTGTGAAGAATTTATAAAATTTACACTGCCTCTCATAAGACATCATGCAAATATGTTACCTCAATTATTAATTCAAGATTCTGCTGATAAAGTTAGATGAGTTGAATCTATATGTAAATGATGTCATACTAGAAGAAAGGATCGATTCTAGAAAGTTTCTGAAAACTTGTTGATTATTTTTGGAACAAAGTTTTTTCAAATTAAAATATAATCATGATCTTTCCTGATACAGTCATCTATCTGTTCTTGTTAAAGTTGGTCTGACATTTTCCCATGGACAGGCATCAGTTGAAAGAGGCTTCTCTGTTAAGAGAATTGTCACATCTTAAAAAGAACGACGAGCCTGGGCAACATAAATAGCTTTAGGATCATCAATGTTTGCATCACTCAATAGCTGATTAAATTTTGTTAGAATGCAGAGCAGATGCTGAATACAAAGCCTAAAAGACTTCTGAACAAAAGAAAAGAGTAGGAGCCACAAGTAAAAGAAAATGTACCATAAGCAAATCCTGATTGACTTTCTGATCTGAAAAAGAAAGTATCAAGCAACCAGTCAAAGCTTGATTAATGTAACCAACATCTGATATCAGGAATAAAATCTCTGAAGAAAACTTGAAAAGAGAAATTTTATTGTATTATTTTTAAGTACATAATGTTTAAGTCCAGTAAATGAAGAAATAAAATATGTTATTTTGATATTAGTAAACTTACTAGAAACTAAATTTGTACATAAAATTAAATGTGTTAAAACTATTAAATTAATAAGATGTTAAAAAAAAAAATGCATATGACAAATAATCTTAGTTCTATATTTTTCTCAAAGAAAAATCTGTATTTTTTAAATTGTTACTTCTATCTGTATTTTGCAATTTATTGCAATTTTTCAATGACAATGATTTTTAAATGCTATTGCATACTGAATATTTTTTTTTAGGCTTTTTAAATGAGCTGGAAGTCTTGCTCTTTTATGTTGAATTATTTTCAAATAAGCAGTTAACGTTTTTGACTTACCGAAAGATAAACATAAACTTAAGAGGCCGACTTTACTAGCTAAAATCTTCTACTGAAATTATGTTTTTTAATTTTATATAATTTTATTTGTCATAATTTTAAATTAGATGTTTTGTAAAAAACTTAATGAGTATATATAATTATTCTATTTAATCTGATTCATGATTTTAGTTAAAAATTGATTGTCTAATTTCTAAACTTATTATATTTTTTTTAGTTGGCCCTAGAGAATATACAATTTATCATGTACAATTTTTTGGAGAGAAACCTCTTCGTGGTTGGACTGCTCAAAAAATCTTTCCATATGAAGGCATTGATAAGTTTTATGAGAAATTTAATGTGTGTAATAAATCAAAAGGAGATCAGTCCGAAAGAAAAGGCCCTGAGGCTTTGAAAAATGGAAACAGGGTTAAAGTATGCATTTTACTTTTGAACAATCACTTAAGATTCTTATATTTACAGATTTTGAATTCATGTAACTCAATTGTTGAAGTAATTCTTGGAGTGTTGTTTTATTTAAATTTACTCAATTATTATTTACAATTTAAAACTGGTTGCTACGGATGTAATATATTGTGTTATGCTTGCAACGCCCAGTATTTAATTTTTAAAAAATTTTTAACTAATGATTTCTGAAAATAACACCAAGAGTTATTTGGACACAAATTAATAAAACTGCTTTTTTTTTTAAGAAATATAAGATATGCTTTTAAAATCTGCAATTGTAATATTTATAAATTGTGGAATTGCCTTTTTACTATGTTACATAAGTCACTGCACTTATAAAATTATATTTATTGCTTTTAGTTGTGTATAAAATTTTAAAGAATTGTTAAAATTAAATTATTCCTTCAACAAGAGGACTATTTGATAGACGTGATATTAACGTGAAATCTGAAACTCTAGATCTGACATAACATCGTGAAAATATGAGATACAATTCGAGGGATCTGTCTAGGTTTTTCTGAGAGGTACCTATTTTGTGAAAATTTAGACATAATTTGGGAAAAATTGAAAATTATATTTAAAAGTCCAACACAAAAATATGGCAAGAATATGGATTTATCATTTCTTCAGGAATACAAAAATAAAATTTTAAGAAAAAGTATTTTGTGAAACTACCGTTTTTCCTAAAATTAAATTTGAGTTGTCGAAGTTGAATTTGTGAAGGTACCGCTAAACGGTAGTAAATTCGGTCTGGACAGACCACTGAATTCACGATCTTAAATCACGTAAATACAAATCCTAATGTGTAATTTTTGATTACATAAAAGTAATTGTAAATTGTGTTTGCATAGGTAGGAAAATGCATAAAAACGAATATTTTTTTTTCTTCTCTGAAATTCGAAAAAGGCAAACTTTCTTGGAAAAGGTGCTTTTTTTTATTAAATTGAAAAAAGCAGAAAAATCTAATCCCTGATACCAGCATGCCTGAAAGTAAAATACAGTGACGTAATTGTGGGAGAAGTGCGACTGCAGTAATCGGAGAAAAAAATTCTCATATTATCAATCTCTGTCGGATTGGCCTGTAAGTTAGAATACGAATAATTGTCTTCAAAACTTGATAGAAATTTAATCTATATTTTACAATATGTAAGAGTTAATAAAGTACATTATATACCTGATCATGTCAGACAAAATATTTTCCCAGTCCAGGTAGTTTATAAGCTTCATCAACATGAACTAGATAATTAATAATAGTTATTTACTCTAAAACCATATAAAAACCTAGGAGTGGAATTATTTTGATTGGTTTTTCAAAAATTAGAGAGTAATTCTATGCATGTGAATAGATATATTCTAAATTTTGTTATGATAATTGAAATTTACTACCTAATTTTAGTTAAGAACACAAAAATTGACCTTGTAATTATTTTTTTATCTTAAAAAAATCTAGAATTTTGTATAAATTTAATCTTTTAGTTCTTGTGCGCTAACAATTATTGTGTATTATCATCCTATCAGCTTTTAAGTTTATTACATTTCATTTAATTTCAAACTTTTTTAGGGCTACATGATGAAAAGCTGGGATATTGCTGTCAAAGAAGCTGAAGAAGCATTTGAAATAAAAGATAAAACAGAGAGGTTTTCAACTTATGTGTTTAATTATGATACTCTTAAGAGGAAAATTCCAAAAGGTAAAAAAATAAAGCTAACAGTTATTTACTTGTGTTTGTAAACTTCTATGCGTTTTAGGTTCATATTGTATATCCCCATATCTGTAACATGGTATTATATTAAAAAAAAAAAAAAATCAAAATTTTAATGTTATGATAATAAAATTTGTTTTTGTGAAAACTTCAGAAGTTTTAAAGTAGGTTTCAAAAATGCTTCATTTGTTTTAATTTAACTTTTAGAGCTTTTAACAGTTCTGCTTTTATTCTGATAAAGATGTCGAAGATTTTGAATGTAATGATGAGAAAAATAAAAGATCATGTTCTAAAATAGAGATTCCATATTTCTCTTATAAATATTTTTATTTATTTAATCTAGTTATAAACCTATGCAATTTAAATAAATGCATTATTTTGTTGCATTTTTTTTTCTGAAATTGTCTCAAACTACATTTTACATAAATTATATTTTATCAAATCAGTGTAAAAAAGATTAAAAAATTGCAATAGGAAACTATTTGCTTGTAAGCGAACCTTTGACGAACATTCATGCTTTAATTGAAAGCACATTGTAAAGATGATCAATAGAGTTTTCATATTTTAATTATCAATGTTTTCAATTCTTCCAGAGTCCAATTAAAGAAAAAATGTACTTTTTTTAATTATTTTGCTTCAAATATCTGTTATTTTTTTTTAAAAAAAATGAAAATAAAAACATTAACTTTTTTTAAATTCAGTATTATTGATGCTTATAGCAACAACTCTTGGTTTTTTCAGCAAAAAAAAAGTGAAAAAAAAAATGAGAGAGAGAAGTGTGATAAGTGGCTATCAACATTTATGAAGGGGTGATAGGTAGCAATTGACATTTAGAGGGGACGAAAATCCAAAAAAGGTTGGGAACCACTAGTCTAAACTGTAGTAGCTAAGGCATAAAAATTACATTCTTTTATACAATAGCAAGTAATTAATACTTAAATTAAATTTCTCGAAACTAAGATTTATGCCCCAATTATAAGTTTTAAATCATATATTTACAAGAAATTTAAAATTCATGCTACTTACTATCTTTCTAAAACCAGTTAGAATTCTGCATTGTTTAAAATTTACAATCCTCATAAATATTAATTATAGAAGACAATTGTAGTACAAGACTGTTTCAATTTGTACACCTTTGAATAACTTTCAATGTTTTTATTTTATTCATTTAATGAAATTTAAATATTCCCATTTTCATCAGAATTGAATCATAAATTTTCGTTTAAAACCTTAATCACAGAAAACTAATTTTTTTCTTCACCTACATCGCACAGGTTAAAAAAATTAATAAGTAACAAAAGGGAGGAAAGCAATCATCTATGTTTCTTTGTCTTCTCAAATCTTTGCTGTCTATGTGTTAAAGAAGTAACTAATATAAAAATATTTAAATTTAAAATTGAAAGTAGAATTAAAAATTCAGAAATTGAAAAAACAAATTATCTTAATGTTGGTAGACAAATCTACTTCTGAGATTACATTTCATAAATATAAGTGCCATGGTTTTTTGCTCTCATATTGTGTGACCCAGAGACATGACCACATACACCTCCTTTATTGTGTATATAGATTATAGTATTGTTGTACCTCAATGTAGTCTTCACGACCCAACAATGAATCCACTGTAAATAAGGGTTCGCTATATTTAAAATTTTTGAAACAAAATTCACTAGTATTGTTGGAAATAGTGTTTGCAATATCACTTATTTTGCTTAACAAACAAGTAATTAAGTAAATATATAGAGTCTCTGCAACGAATTTCTCTTACAGCAAATTTCTTCCTATAACAAAATTTTTAATTAAAGCGTTAAAAAGTGGTCATCTCCCTATAACAAATTTTTCAAGTTTAGGAAAGAAACATATTTCAGTATTAAAGAGGCACCAAATATTCTTGTGTCTGCCAATCTTGTTGAATATTGCGTTTGGTCAGATAATTTCCTTTTTCCTCAATTAATAAAATGATGCATTTGTTAAGTATGAAAAGAATTGAGGCAAAAAAGTGATGTTTGATTTTTGTATTAGATTTTACATAGCTATGTCATCCAGACCTCGAAGACCTGGTTGTTGGTCCAGGACCACTTAAATTAAACTCTGGCAATTTTTCACTTGAACCAACCACTAAGAGTAAACTTAGACCTCAGTTTTTTTAAAATAAAATTTATTTTTTATTTTAAAGATTTGTGCGTCGTAACTTTTTTTTGCATCTCCCTTACAATGTTTACGTTTTGGGCGCACTATATCAAGTGGATCTTTGATATAGTGCTGATATACTTATGAACTTATCACATAGACTAAAAATTTTGTGTAATTTATTAAAATGACTGTAAAATAGAAACTTGAGTCCACTACAATTGAGCTACCAATTTCTCCGCTGTTCACTAAAAGCATATGAAATAACATTAGTTAAAATAACAGTACTGACCTCTAAAAACATTCATTACAAGAAGGTGTTCACTGTATCCTAGATTTGTTATAGTGGGTTTGGACTGTGTATAAAAAGCCTTTTTGTAAATTTTATATTATTCATAATGAAAAAATCTTAAATGATATCTAGTAACCAAACTACCAAACAAGAGAAAAGTATTTCTTTCTTTTATTTTCAATGTAGTTAATATACTTGCATCAAGTTATCCTAATGCCTTCTTGTTTCTTTGCCACTGTAATGATTCTTATATTTCATGCAAAATTATATTTTGGCAACTTTATAACTACTAACTTTTGGCAACTTTATAACTTTTAATAAGTACTTTAAAAATAGCTATATTTTAACTACATGCACTAAAGTGTATTTTTTTTATTCAGGTAATCAGCAAAATGGGTTCAGTCAGATTATTCCTGAAAAAGTTAAAACTTCTGAAATCCCTGAGGTGAGTTGAACTCTTTTATCATTTTCATAATTACTGTCACATTTATTTTTAAAATCTAATTTATTTCCAAGAATTTTTGCTCCATAGATTTTTAATATGATTGAATTTCCTTGATTTCAGGGAGACTTTTTTAAAATCTAATAAAAGCCTGACTATTCAAAATTTGATAAACCAAAAAATTCAAATAACCTGAATTTCCAGAAGTAAATAAAAATTAAGAGGAAAAAAAAATACACTTGTGTATTTTATTTTGCTAAAGATTGATTACAAGATTCAAAAACTTAGGCTAAAATATTGATTGATCTTGCTGGTATATTGACTATGAACAATCATTTGGTATGAAAAAGTGATACCTCCCCCACACCTTTATCACTAAACCTAGAGTTTACAATTTCAAACGCTTAGCTTTGTCAAAGTGTTTTAAAAGAATGTGAAATTTCCCATAGGAGAAAATGTGACAAAGAATATTGAATTGCTTGTAACATATAATGAACAAATTAATGAATTGCACATAAAGTTTTAAATTACTAACGTAGGTGAAACAAAATTTGACATGAAGAGTTTTTCCCATGGTATAGCATCCTCTTAGGTAGATTAAATGAAAATGATTTTTCTGTTTTCTGTATTTTCTTTTACTTTGACATTTCATTTTTTAAATCAATTTTTGTTTTCAATCAATTTTTTCAATAAATTTTTGATTTTTTAAAAGCGTTTTTGATCAACATGATTAAATTTCCTAAAAATGTGGTAATATGGAAGGCTGAGATTTTCAACATTAATGCTTTGTTTTGAGAATTGAGAATGATTTATTTGCTTTTTTTTAAAGTTTTGTTTTTATCAGCATTTTTATTATGCTGAGATCTTTTCTAGAGTGTTTTTGATAGACATTTTCTTTTATCGTCCTTTTTTCTTAAAAGTATAATACAGTACAGAACCCGTTATCCGGAAATCAGAAAACCGGAAAACCAAAAAACCGGAACGAAATTCGATAAATTTTCCCGCCATTTTTAAAATTTTTTGTTTTTTTTCCTCTTAAGATTTTAGGATTTTTCCTTTTTTTTTTTGAAAGATGTTTACTTTACCATCATTTTGGAAATAATTATTAGTGTATTACTTCATAATTTTTCTTCTTTTTAAGATAATTTCCAAATATTTTTTATTTAGTTGGGTTTAACAATAAAAAAACGGCTTTTTGTAGCGATTCAGAAAACCGGAAAAATCAGTTATCCGGAATAGCGATGGTCCTGATCGTTCCGGATAATTGGTTCCCTACTGTAATATAGAAAAACTGAGATTTTCAGCTTTATACTTTTATTTGACGAATTATGAAATTTTTTTTCTCTATCAGAGATAAAAGACTTCTGCTAAAAAGCGGAAATCCGCTTTTTTCTCCCAATTTTTAGAATTTCGAACCATGTTCCAAAAATGTAAATTTTTGGGGAGTCGAATTATTAGAGAAAACTCTTCCCCCATAGCTTGAGCAGCCTGACTTGGAACGAACTTTTTTTCTCTTGTAGCAGCCTCCTGAGAAAGAATGATCATTAGGAGAAAATGGGTGGGCGTTCGCAGGTGTGCCTTTGCCTTGACAACCACAACTTCCGCTGTAGAACGGAACGGATGAGGTTCTTGATTTCTCTGAGTTAAGTTTCCTTTCGACTGCCGATATTTATTCTTTGGTTTTACCTTCTTAGTGCGACGCATATTGAATTTTCGCATGCATTCATTATAAATCTCTCCGCTTCTTCTTATTTTTGTCCATGCACATGTTTGTATTTTGTTTACTTGTGTCTTTCACGTGGTGCATCCTACATAGCTGCCAAATGTTCTGTTAAAATTGTTTTTTTTTTCCCCTTCACGATCTTTTAACTTTGTTCCGAAAATACAAATTTCATGTCAAAATGTTGTAATTTTTTAGTATTCTAGAGTCTTTTCACTTTTAATGCCGATTTGTTTTTTCAACTTAGGGCAGATCTAAGAAGAGCAGGGCATGTGATTTTTTCCATGAATATCACAGAATTCAATGTCTCTCAAGACCACTGGTCTGCAGACTTATAATCAAAACCTTATAATCCGACAAAATTTTGAAGCTTATGCTAAATCTCTTTAACTAGACTTGTGATTCTTCCGCCAATTTGATTTCTTTGGTTTGGCTGATTTTTGAAATTTTAGGAACTGCGTCGGAATCTGCTAATGTCATGATTCTTATTCAGAAAATTTTAATATCAATCATCGATTTTCGTATTAAACTGATCTAAAAGTTACGTGTTGGTGATTTGTTCTTACTCGATTTAAAAGTTGTACATCGTAATTCCCGCTCACACAATTTAAAAATCGTACATCGCAATTCCCATTCACTGAATTTAAAAATTGTACATTGCAGTTTAAAAATCCAATATCGCGATTGTATTCAGGCATTTTTAAAATCGAATATTGCGATTTGTAATCACACGGTTGTAATATCAAACATCGATTTCCGTATTTATATGTGATTTTTTAAACTACGTTCTATTCACTTCTATATATTCTATCTATCTAATCGTATTATACTACGTTCTATCTACTACGATTCGTATTCTCTTGATCTAAAAACTATGCATCGTGATTCTTGTTTGCACTACTTAAAAATTCAATATCGCAATTTGCATTTTCTCGCTTTTAAAATCCTATATCGCGATTCATATTCATAAGATTTTATAATCCAACATCTCGATTTATATTCATGCGATTTTAAAATCCAATATTGTGATTCTTGAAAAAAGTAAGTTTTTCTTGAAACGGTTACAGGGTTGCCCCATCCACAGGAAGAACAGGGAAAACCTGGAAAATACAGGGAATTTAAAAATCACCTAAAATAACTGGGAAAATGCAGGGAATTCTGATTTTTTCTTTACAAACTGGGAAAATACAGGGAATTTTGTTTCTTATTTTTGTCTTTTAAAAAATGGTGACCACTCAAAGTGTAATCTATGGGATACTTAACCACGATATTTCAGCTATAGTAAACTATTTCATTTACTATAGCATTATTTAAGTATGTTCAGTTGTTTTTCCAGCAATTAAAACTAATAAATATAGTTAACCCAATATAGCTCACACAAGAGCACAGTAATGTTGTTTTCTCTTAATATATTGTGTATAATATGTACAAGGAATTTTTTTCCTAGATTTGACAGGCAACCCTGGATTACTATAAAGATGTTATATTCTTCATTAGTAATTTAATTGAAACTGTTAGCTCAAAAAATTACGTTAAATATGAAATGTGTATGGTTTTTAAATATATGGATACTTTGTTTTTCACTTCTTTTCATAATTACATCATCACGCTTTGTGTTTCTATTTTTGTTTTTATCAAGTTGGCAGTTATGAGTAAGAGTAATGCGTTTTAACAAAGATAGTAAAGTTGAAAGGCGAACACAATGTGCATACGATCGATGCTGGTGAAAAAAATAAATTCCAGTTTGATTGGCTAATTATAGCAGTTAAAGTGACTAAAATTGTTAGTAACAATTCTATCAGAAGATATTAAAGTGAAAGTTTGCTTTAATTTAAAATGATTGACTGGTAATTTAAAATGATGATTAAGCTGTGACTTCCTATAATTACCTACTTTTCTTAAATATAGTAGTGGTCACAGAATCTTAAATTTATATTTGAGAAAAATTTAAATTTCACTGTCTAAATGCCACTTTTAATATAAAATAAAAATCTCCTGACGGAGTTAAAAGTTGCGTTTTTTTAAAATCTCATTGATATCACAGTACTATATAGACCACTTCCTCCCAGTAACTGCGTTGTAAACTTCAGCTTTTTTTATTTATTTTTGTCCACTTTCATGCCTGCTCTGTTAATCAGCCTTTTATTTATCTGTAATAATTTTAGGAATAAGAATTGTGGTTCAGCATCAGTATATAGTGATTCATTCAGTATTATTTACATTCCATTTTTAGGTTCATAAAGCTAAGAAAGTTAAGGTATCAAATGAACAAGATAGTGATAAAGGAATTTGTGTTCTGTGCATCAAATCAGATCCTAACATTTCTTGCCGTGGCTGCCAGAAAGAATTTCATCTAAGTTGTTTGGGTTTACTTTCAGCTAATGGATTTGAATGTGCAGAATGTAAATCAGGTAATCCTTTTTAATAATCTGATTTTTTTTAAATAATTCATGTTATTTTTAACTGTATCATACTACCAATTAAAATTTAGTAAAATGTTAAGATAAAACTAGAAATCAATACAAAGAATAATTTTTTTTCCATCTATTTCAAAGGAAAACACACAAAGCTGTTAGCGTGGATTGGTAAAAAGGACAATAGAGCATTATCTCCATAACAATAGAACATTTTAACGGTTTTGGATTTTATGTTTTTAGAACTTTTTTTTGTCAATTTTTTGTAATAGATTAAGCAAATTGTTTGAAATAATCAAGATTGTTTTTTTCTTTTTTTATAATAAAATAAAGTTAAATTCATTATATAATCAGACGTTTTGTATTAAAATAAAATTACAAAGTAGAAAAATTGTATGTATTTCATAATTTAATAATTCAGTTCTTAATTATCATAAATTTACATACGGATTTGAATCTCATGAAATCTTCTATATTTTAAGTGATTTTTTCTGCAATTTCGTATTGAATCTTCTACAATTTTAAAAATTTAGGTTGACAAGTATGCATCTATTATGAATTATATATACCTTTTCCCCTTATTGTGAGACAAAACAGACTTTTTAAATAAAATAGAAAGCACATTTGGTGCTATCACAGCATTTAATTATAATTAATCAAACATTTGTGACAAGGGAAAGTGGCCAAGTAATTCGATATCCTCTATTTTTAATGCAGGAGAAAGCCTGCTACCCGAATTCATTGTTTTTTTTTTAAACCCTGGAAACTACGCTTCTGAAGGGATGTATCACAATTTTTTGTTTTTCACCTTGTCTTTGATTTTCTGTATACATGATGCATTATAGTGCTCATAAGTAGAATCACTGCTAACTTCACATTTTATTTGTTAAAATTATTGCATTTCGACATTACTATTTTTTTCCTATGTAATTGTTTTGCTAATAAAAATATGTTTAAATTTTTTAGGTGTTCGTACTTGCTTTTCATGTGAGAAGTCTGATGAAGCTGTTATCAAGTGTGGACATCCTAAATGTTTTAAATATTATCATCCTGATTGCCTAAAACAACTACCAGGTAGTTATGAAAAGAACCAAGTCTGTCCCTTGCATACTTGTTTAACATGCTATACTGAAGATCATAGGAATCTCGCTGCTCGTAAAGGTAACTTTTACTTGTTTAACTAACCTTTAAACTAACCTTTTCACCATTCATTTTTAAGCCTTGAAATATTGCATTCGTTAATTATCTTAATAAATATTTTTATTTGAATTTAGTAGTACATTGTTTGTTTGGAGTATATTATAGGTGTATGAGCTCTTAAATATAAGTAAGTAATCAGTGGGTTATTTGTTAAAAGTGATACATTCAATGATGTAGATCATAGACCAATGGTATAGCAGAACTTTTTGTTGCATCTAAACATTTATTGAGTCTTCTTGTTTCGAACTAATGGTGCCAGGTTATTCTGTATTAAATCATCCATTCAAATCGCAATTTGTAACACCAAGTTGATGGGTGAAAATTGGTGAACATATTTAACTTAGTGATATAGAAATATTTGCAAAACTTTATAGAAAGTACATTACAGAATATTTTATCTGGTATTCAGAAAGCTAACAAATTTTGAACTAGAACGATTAAGGCAATATGCAGAAATTCTAATCATCCTTGAAGTTGAGTAGATGGGAAAGTAAGGGGGGCAATAAACAGCATAATAACAATAAAAAAATTTATAGTATGTGAGTAGTGCAAAGGGCAAACATTTTCTAAAACAATGGCAATTATGCAGTAACTTTCTTTTTAATATAGAGAAACAATATATTCTCATTACTATTTTCAGTAGTTTTTATTACTTGGTACACTTAAGTTATAGAAATGAGTAGTTTCTATTACTTTTGCTTTAGTCTAACTTTACTAGTATCACTGTAACAGAGTAATATTTTTACCTCGTGTTAAAATTCTTTTTATGTTTCATATAAAAATTCTTGTTTATGTTTAATATTAAAATTTTTGCTTCATATTGATTTTTTCTTCTTTCAATTTAGGAAGTTTGATTACTTGTTTTAAGTGTCCGTCTGCCTTTCACGCACGTGAGTCCTGCATACCAGCTGGCTGTGTTGAATTAATTACCAATGCCATAATATTATGTCCTTTTCACTTTGTGCTGGAAAGAAAAAATTCTAAGCGATCTGCACTTATTAATGTCAATAATTGTGTGTCATGTAGTGAAGGTAATTATAATTCAATATTCTATGTTATACATTGCATATCAGAGTGATAGATCCAATTACATTTTTCAAATTTTCAATTCGTAATGAACAATAAGTCTTATATTTAAGGTCAGAGTAGTTTCACTATGTTAAAGTAAAAGTATGGCTGATCATTAAAAGGGCGATTCTTTCGTTACGTGTGTTACTTTTACACGACATATTTCAACTTCAACACTTATTATAATAAACTTGTTAGTTATTTTTTATGTTTTTCTTAATTTGTTGTTAAATCTATATGTGTTGTAAGTTTACAAAACGAAGATTGAAGGCGCAAATTAATTTGATGTTGAAAAAAAAAATTTCTGAAATTTTGTTACGTGTGTTACCCTTTATAATGCTAGATATTTGAAACTTTGAATATATTCATTTAATTCTGTGAAGTATAAAGGCAAAAAATTAAGATATTTTCTTTTATAGAGAGATACAATATCGAAGCTGTGTTTAGTGATTTTTAAAAATTTCTTGCAACAGTAAAAACTTCTTTATTTTGGTGAAATTGGTGCGTTACGTGTGTTAACTGAACGTTACGTGTGTTACCCTCTGTGAATATTTCAACTGAGAAGTCATAAATGTTGCACTAAAACATTTATTTATTTTAATTTAGCAGAAGAAAAACAATTTATTTTAGCAAATAAAATAGTTAATGGTCTGGAAAGATGGTTGTAGCCCTTCTTTATACTGGTTTAGAGAGTAAAACATAGCAAATCTTAGGCACATCTATTCCTTCAAAATCATTTCTGTTTGGAAACAAAAATATGCATATTTTCCAATTATTTTATGCAAATATTGCATTTTAAGTTTACAAGCATGTGCATTTGCGTCAATAATGTTCCCGAGATAGAGCATATGTCGTTTTAATTTCAGTTATAGGCGCACTTCTGATCAGGAGGGAACAGAAATTGACTTACTGACTATTTGTGTGCCACAATGTGCATCTATGCATCTTATTCAAGTATCTAACGATACTTATGCATAGATTTTATGCTTTGTATTACCGTTGCCATGTATTGATCTTTTCAATTAATATCTTTATTTCCTTTTGGCTAATATATAATACTGTTGTATTAGGCATGAGTTGATTGGTTAGCTTTGCAAACAACACTGGATAGCAAATAAATTTTTTTGTATAACAACACAATGATATAAATAACTTTGCTTTTTGCTTCGCTTTCAAGATTTTGTACTACACACCTATCCCATAGAAGGAACTTCTGCATGTGATATCGTAAAATATTTCCAAATTAATTTCTTTTTTTATATTTTGATTGACAAAATATGAAATAATTCAACCATATATTTATTTTTAAATTCTTAACTTGACTTATTACTATAGAAGGTTTCTGTTAGCTCTTCTTCTGAAGTAGAATCGTTTTTAAACAGTCTTAAAATAAAAGTGTAGACATTGTTTCACCTTTGTCTTTGCCTTAGGAAAATATTGTAAAGGACTCTATTTTAAACTCTTTAGGAGAGTATCGTCTAAGACAACAGCTGCTGTGAATAACGGAACTGTGGCTGGATAGCATAATGCTGATTGAAATTCGTTTTGATATTCAAAAGAATATGCCATTGCAAAGTCAACTTGAATTTCCCTGGTTTTAATGCTAGATATGTTTGTTTGGAAAGTATCACCTCGGATTCTTTTAACTCTTACGTATTATTGAAAGTTAGTCCAATTTTCAAGAGTTATTTCAAAACATTCTTCTTGCACATTTGCCATTATATATTTTTTATTGTGAGCTATTGTCATCTTTTTCTCATCGTTACCAAACTACAATAAATGATGGTTAGAAACCTATAACAAGCAATGAGAAATTTTTGTAAGTATCAGAAGCACCCTTCCAACAATTAGATCCAAAATTTCTTTTACTTTATATACATAAATACT